CCTCTGGATCTCTGTCCATTTATTTGACATGGAATCATAAATTTCCCCAGAATCCAGAGGCTCATCCCAGCATCCAAGACCCCCTACAGCAATCAAGAGAAAGCGTCTTTGATCTTTATTTGAATGTTCGCCTTTTTGTTTGACAAACTTGTACCGTTTCACACTTGGCAAGGACGTAAGCTCGTTCTCATTCAGAGAATATCGAAATTGGCGTCCAACTGAAAGTCTATGAGGATCCTCATAAACATCAGATACCCCACCAACTCTTGGACGGTAAAATCTTCTGTCTCCTCGAGTTTGTTGATTCCTAATAAATAAACAATCTGAACTGATCTCATAAGCTCCTAAAATAAGGGATGATCTTGCATGCTTCATTGGTGCAGCTTTATGCCACGTTCTCATCAAGGGACTAAAAACGAGCACGCTTTTATGTGTCTTGAATGAACTCTTATCAAATTTCCCAAAGTTAGTAAGGCTAGAACAGCCTCCAACAACATAAACATCATCATGGATACCGGCAACAGAAAATAAAAATCTTCCTTTCAGAATTTCAGAGTTAATTTTGTGCCATTGGTTGAAGGAAACATCCAATGCATGTATTTCTGCAGAACAACAACCGTCTTTTACAACCCCAAAGAGAAAAACCCATGGATTCTTAACCGAACCTTCTTGCCTCATTCGCCAGAAACGAGGAGTCATTGTCAAGTTTCTCCATTTCTTGCACACCAGCCTAGCATTCATGACACTCATAAAAGGAAGCCTTAATAAGCACATTTCAAGGATGTCATCCGGTAAAAACACATTCATGCTTTTGTTCTGTAGTGCTGCTTCAAGTTCTAGAGATTTCCTATTAGTCCTCCTCCAGAATTTTTCCCTCATGCCATAAGCGAAGCAATCTACTGTGGTTTCTTCATTTCCACATATTGGGGCGTAGCCTTTGCCTTCCTCACTTGCATTTGACCTTCTTCTACCGCATGAATCCCATAACTCATCACCAGTGTCAGCAGCTACTTTGCAACCACCCCCTCTGCTGTATAGCGTTAGACATCTCAAGGAGACGCCCTTGTCGTCATCCTCTTCTCCCCCTCCGCTTCTATGGTTCTTCTTTTTCAATTTTTGGCTCACACTTCTGACTAGCTTTTTCGACACGCTTAAAGACTCCAAATCCTGTTGAATAGATTCTTCTCCTGTTAACCTTTCTGATGTCATCTTAGTATCCTACAATTGTGTTAAAAAAAAAGGAATTATCTTACTGATCCCTTTCTATTGTATAATGACTATGTGGCATGTTTATCACATAAATCAAATAGTTGTTGGAAAATCAAGTCTTAGATGTTTCAACAACAACAACAACAACAACCTAGTATAATCCCACAAGTGGGGTGTGGGGAGGGTATAGTGTACGCAGACCTTACCCCTACCCAGAGGGGTAGAGAGGCTATTTCCGAAAGACCCTCGGCTCGAGAAGAAGAAAAATAAACAATAGACAATAGATCCGTGACAGCAAAATAGAAGATAAAAAATATTGACAGCATCGTAAGAAATAGAAAAAAAGATGTAAAAGCAATAACTATAAACAACAATACTACCATAGAAAATAGTGAGGAAACTACATAAACCACTAACAATCCTCCATCTTCTATCTTGTTTTCAGACTAACTTTTTTCGACAGCTATGACAATAATATTACTCCACAAACCTACATACTCAAATAAGAGAAGCACAAAGCCCTGACAAATGTGCCAATTAGATAATAAACAAATGAATGCAGTTCCCCCTTTCAAGAGTGATTGAGATATTTGACATATTCGTACACTAAAACCACTAGGAATCTAAAGGGTGTCTTCCTATATACTCAAAAGTCACAACTTTTTAGGTAGAAATGAATTTGATGCTCTAACTTTATTTATTTTTCCTTGAAAGCAAGATTCATATTTTTCTTCCTGAAACATCTTCAGATATACATCCCTATACCTAAAAAATCAATTGAATCTCCAAATAATCAGCTTAAATGAGCTAAAATAGAAAATACAAATGAAAAGCTTAGACAACACAAAGACAAAAATAAGCTCAGGAACATTTAGGTTGACAAAATGAGCTAAAAGCATCCTGTTTATTTTACAAGATCAAAACTTTATCCCAAACAAATCTTGAAACAAGAGAAATAATTACATATCCAGATGGAATAAAAG